TATATATATATATATAGTCATTATGAAATGATTAAATCTAATTAATAAACCTAGCACCTTATATACTTAGATTTTTGTGGAGAAAACATTTGAAATCTGCTATTTTAGCACTTTTGACACATGTGTCCTTAAACACTGTGCTATTCTGCTTCCCATAGGGATGTGCAGTAAAGTACTGATATCATGTACAAGTCTAGATATGAACTCATCCACCTGCAGATACTCAAATTATTATATAATGGCTTGGGCACAAGTCTAAATTAATGCTTGCTCACATATTTTGCTAAACCTTCTTGTTGGCTTTGCATTGTGAGCAAGAAAGGTGGAAACAGAGGCATCGTTAGCGTGGCTGTAGCTTCCCTTGAATATCCACATTATTCCTGCAGTGCTCTGTAACTCACTGCTGAGAACAGCAGGCGGGCGGGGCTCCTGTCTTTAGCACCCCCTGCAAGTTCCATGGCCAAAGGCCCCCAGTAAGTGACCTTGTCTGGGGAGTGCCTCTGGCTCTGACCATCCCTGTGCTTCCTTTCCTCCTCAGGATTCAACAACACAGAGAGAATGTGTGACAAAGAGTTCATCATACGCAGGACAGCCACCAATCGGGTCCTGAACGTCCTCCGCCACTGGGTCTCAAAGCACGCACAGGTAATTCAGGAGCGGCAGCAACGCCGCTTGAGGACTTTATGTTTGAAGTAACTTTTTAAGTCACTACATGTGCAAAACACCTCTTGGTTCTTGGCAGCGAACATCTGCAAGTTTGGAATTAAAAACAGGTGGGGAAGAGATGAGGCAGCATAGCGCTGAAGGCAGCCCGTGCCTGGCCAGCACCCAAGGTTCACGTCTGCAAAGGACACGATGGGCAAGGCAGGTCCCTCTGCTGCCACCTGTGCCACCCTGCCAGCGTCTGCCCCGGGGTTGTGTCCGTCAGCACAGCCCTGCCCCGGGGCCGCCGCTGCAGCGGAGGGAACCGTGAGCACTTGGCCTCTACTCTGGGAGTATTTTCTTGGCCTATTCAGGACATGCTTTGCCTTGTGTCTTTTGGTGTCTTGGTTCTCAGTACTGTTTTCCAATTGTGTCACATTGGCAATATGCCCACTTGTTGGTGTGACCAAAAAACATGATGCATGTTAATTTTAAAAACAATTTCTTAGAGTGAAAGGCACATTGCCATGAACCCCCCTCAAAGCCTTGCCCCTGGCTTTGAACACACTCCTCCCATCATCCTTGCCACTTCCTGCCGCGGCTCTGAAGTCCTCTTTCCCGAGAGTCTTCAGTTGTGCTGTCCCGGCTGCCTCGATGTCCTAAATGGATTCAAAACATTGACCTTTCCTGGTCATTTTGACTCTGGGGAAGAGTCGAAAGTCACAAGGTGCCAGTTTTGGTGAATAAGGTGGTGAGGACACAGCATCATGTTGACAGAAATTGCCATAAATGGCTGACTAATGAAGGGCGACCATAAGATACAGGGAATGTTTAAATTTTTAAAACTTATTACAGTTAAAAGACACATTGCCATTAATCCCCCCTTAAAATCCTCAAATCCTCCCCCACACTGTGAACACACCTATCCCATTGCTCTTGGCAGTGTGACTGTACTGTAATAAGATTTGTTAAAAACTTTAAACATTTCCCATAACTGCGAATCACTTTTTAGGTTTGCAACTCACCTTGGTAGAATTTACAGCCCTTTTGCATAACAAAGCCAGCTCCCACTTTACCTGGCTGGCTCCAGGCACACCCAATGCTTTGCCTACCTGTGGCCGCACCTGCAGCGCCCCTGGGCTTGAGGAGAGTTTGGGGTGGAGGACGGGGCTCCTCAGGGTCCAGGCATGTGATGGAGCACTGTGGGAGGCGGGTGAGGGTCACACTGTAAGAGAGAGCTGGAGCCTGCGCGTGTCCTTGGAGCAGTCCCAAGGCTGTGCAGTCCTGCGTCTGGACAGCCAGAAAGAGTCACCATGCAGACCACACTGCAGACACCTGTGGCAATAGGACTTCTGAAGGGAGGGTTGGGGCCTCACTAACAATAGTAAGCCGACAAAGAGTCTTTCTTTTTTAAGAAAAGCAGTCAAGATAACATGCTAAATAAAAGGTGTAAAAATTCCACTATAAATAAATAAATAAAACGAGTCCTATGTCGTTAAAATCCCGGACTATCCAGGCTTGGGGACAGCGGTCTTGTAATCTCAGCGGGCTGCTTTTGAGCCTCTGTGCCTCACCGAAGGGAAAGTGAATCCAGCGCAGTTCACATGTCACTCTTGGACTTTGTGATGTTTTTAAAATTTAAACACTTTATCTCCAACTTCTAGTCACTTCCTCCAATTTGTTATTGTACTTTATCTCTGATATGTGTGTGCCCTTGTCCCATTGTAAGAGGGTTTTATATACATTTTATCCTCTAAACCGCACACTGTCCAGGCAGCTGTGGCTTACTTATCCCTTAGAAAGTAGCAACATACCTGAAAAACTGAAGGTTTTTAAATAGTCAAGGGCAACAGCTGGTCACAGCCTTAGCAGCCAGCTGTAAACCACGCACAGTTAGGAATGGGGTGCCTTGCTGGGAACTCGCCTGGGCTTGGAGCCTGCAGCCAGGGCAGAGGTGAAGTGGAACGTTGTCCCTGTGACGACCTGGGAGGTGGGAGGCGAAGGCTGGCGTGACGGCCTCTCCTTCGGATGCTTGAGGGTCTCAGGGATCAGAGGGGCCCACATTCGAGTTTGTATAGTTTGCTTCTGTTTGTTATTTTGACAGTTGTCAGGCGCCTCTCTTTTGTTTTTAAATTCCTGGCATTGCTTAGCAAAGCACAGAATCTGGCGTTGCAGTGGAGCTCCGGGTTCAGATGTCTGCTTTGTTCCACATCTGAAGCGGAGGCTAAGCCAGGACAAGCTGAGCACCCGAGCTTCGGCGTGGGCGGGGAAATGAGACGTGGGAGACGCCCGCTCCTGCACAGGCGGCTCGGCCACCTCTCCGGTGGCTGTGGCGGCTGCTAGCTCAAGCTGCCCACCTGCCCCGGGTACTTTTCCATCCGGCGGCTGCTCTGCCAGTACAGGGCAGCCTCAGGCGGTGACATGCGACCTCGGCACTGTCCCCACAGCTGGACGCTGGGTTTCGGGGGAGATGAATCCTGTCACCTGAGCGGGCCGGCGGGTCCGTGGTCCCACCGGGCAAGCTCCAGCCCGCCAGGGGGATCTGTGAGTTGTGACACGGGCACCTGGGAAGGTGGTTTCCGCTGCTGCCAGGCTTTGGTGTTAAAAACGTTCCCATCACCTTACCCTCTCTGGTCCCTGCGGTTTATGTCTACGTGTCCCACAAAGCCTCGTGTGCGCAGGCGCAGAGCTTGTGCGAGAGGATTGGATGTGGGCTACAGCTGACTTCCGGTTGGGGGGGCTGATGGGAAGGGGCGGTCGCAGTGGGCGTGGCCTAGAGGGCTCTAGCTCCCCGGCTCCGCCCTTCCTCTCTGCTTCCGGTCTGCCATGAAGCGAGCAGCTCTTCTCTGCCTGACCCTCCACCCTGCCCTCTGGCCTGGCACCGCCTGTCCGTGGAGCAGAAGTGTGAGCCAGCATCTACCTCCCCTCTGCTGAGTTCTGAGTGCTGGGTGCTGCGTCCCAGCCGTGGGGGGGCAATGGACACCCCGAGCTTTCCAGCTGTCCTTCCTCCGTGTGGGACCTCCGCCACAGCGCCCGGGAAGCCAGGGTGGGCAGATGGCAGCATTTAGGACGCCAGGGTCTTCACGGGACTGACCTGCGTTTCCGCTGGCTTCCGAGGCATGAGCTCAGTTTCCCTGTACACTCAGCGGGCTGCTTGCTTCCTACAGATCTTGTCCACGGAGAGGCCCCCAAGAGCACCCACAGGGTCGCCGCCCTCCTGTGGGTTCGCAGCTCGGCCAGGGCTGAGGCAGCGCCTGGGGACCCTTCCTGCTCCTCGCGTACCCCGCTCCCGTGGTCCTTGTGCACCTGGGGCGCCCCTGGACACCTGCCTGCGGGCATCACTGCCCTTGCTGAGTGGCAGGGCCACGTTGGAATTGCCTCAGTCTGTACTAGCTGGTTTGCCTTGCTTTGGTCACATCCCCTCCCTGCCCTGCTTGCAGAGTCCCCGTCCTGTGGCCCAGTCTGCACAGAGCCTCTCCAGGGTTAATGTCAAAGGTGCCACCCCATTCCTGTCACCCCCTGTCTCCTCCAGTGCACCCCCCCGCCTTTGCTCTTCACAGTGGACCCCACAGATGGCTCAGGCACGGGTGGCTTGGTCAGTAAGAGCATGGACAGCAGGATTGAAGCAGGCTCTGCCGGACCTTTCTTTTCCTTCCAGTCTTCAGGGCTGTCTTGAAAGCAGCGAACCTCGAACACAAACCACCTGTCTGGAAACCAAACAGAAAACAGAGCCTCTGGACAAAGCCCCTCTGTTCTGACACAAGCGCTGACCCCGGGTCCCCTGGAGACACGCGGGTGAGCAGCTGGCTCTCTCCGGATTCGGGCTGCGGCTGCCTTTCAGATTACATTCCCGAGCACAGCCGCAGGCCCAGCCCTGCGAGGTGTCCCAGCGCAGTCGCGCCTCAGAGCTGCTGGCCTAGAAGGTTGTCGGGGTGGTGTTTTCCAAATTGCTGTCACTCCTTGCCACTCGCCTCTGCCCAGTTATTTTTGTTCTAACAAATCTTCCGCATGGTGCCTCCTCCTCATAGCCTCCTACTCCACATCTGTCCAACTGATTTCCCGAGCCACCCGTCTAAGAAGGAGGTAGCTCGCCACCACTTGTCCTTTCTGTTCTTCGATTTGTGTTGTGCGTTTGGGATACAGAATGGTTCTGTTTGTGCTGGAGAGTCAGGACTCCCCATACTGCACCTCAGTCACATTTGTGCCACGCCCCCACCCATTCCCCTCACCAAGATGCGCTTCCCGGCTCCCAGAGTCCACCTCCCTGACTCCTACTTCTCTCCTTTATTCTGCTGTCAAAATTATTTATATTTGGGTTTCTCATATAAGAGAAATCATGCAATATTTTAGCTTGTGTGTTCTGGTTCATTTCTCAGCACTATGGTCTCAAGGTGCATCCACTTTCTCACACATGACTCGAGTTTATCCTTTTTCATGGCACAGTAGTACTCCATGGTGCATAAATGCCACCTTTTCTTTGTCTGTTCACCTGTAGATGGGCATGCAGGCTGCTTCCAAGGCTTACTCATTAGGAACTGTGCTGCTATAAACTTGGGCATGCATGGATCACTGTAATATGATGTCACTAGCTTGATGGGGAAGATCCCTGGAAGAGGTATAGCTGAGTCAATATTTTTATGAATCTCCTTTACTACTTAGCCCAAAGTCAGTATCTTCCCATGTACTTTTTCCCACTCATTCAACAATTATTTGCAGGTTGGCCAGGATCAAGGTACTATGCTTACCAAATGTGGAGGAGAATTGTGTCTGGAGTTTTACTGCCTGAAACAGGAGCTCTTGGACGATGGGGTGCAGTCCCTGCTTACCCTGCTTCTCTTTGTAGTTTCAAGAGTGCATTGCAAAATGCAGGACTGGTAAATGCTGCGCATGTTTAGACAGTGTAGAGCTTCTCCAGTGTTGCCTGTGGGATTTAATACCAAGTTTAGCGCTCTTCCCTATGTTTTCCAACTGGGATGTTCTTGTTCAAAGTGTGAACAAGGAAG